TGCCGGAAAAGGAGGGACAATCTCCTCCTGTACCAGTCAGATCTGATTTGACGGTACACTCACACAAAAATAATAATAAAAAAAAAAGACTAAGGTGCACCTGATCCAAACCTTGATATTTTCAATTGCTTCATATGCATCTGAAAGTGGGACAATGAATAAGGAAGATAGTAGAATTGATGCCTTTGAATTGTGGTGTTGGAGAGGAGTAGAGAATTATCACATAGACTGGCAGAAGGACAAACAAGTCTGTCTTGGGGGAACGCAGCCAGGATGCTCCTTAGAGGAACGGAGGGTAAAAGTTCATCTCACACACTTTGGACATGTTGTCAGTAGGGGCCAGACTTTGGAAAAGACATCAAGCTGGGAAAGGGGGAGGGTTAGGGAAGACCTTCATTACGACTGTGCCAACGGGTTCAAGAAGGCAGAGATGAATCGGGGTAGGGCTACGTTTCGCTCTGGTGTTCACAAAGTCGCTACGAGTCTTGGCTGACTTGATAGCGTCTAGCAACATTCCGTGACAGTGAACCGAAGCATTCCAACAGCCGTGCAAATGGCTCAGAACCAGACATTTCACTTCGTTTCACATAAGGTCACCAGGAGTCGGAGTCGGCTCCATGGCAACTAACAACATACAATAACACAGTCTTTCTCACACACAGATGGCGGAGCCTGTACAAGCAGAGCCTGTGGGGAGGGTAACTCAGCAACTCCTACCACAGCTGCTAAGGCACTTGTTCATTTCAATGAGCCATCGTGAGGATTCACAGATGTTACCTAAAGCTCAAATGCTGACTCAGGGGTTGGAGGGTCAAGTTCACCGAGCAGTGCCTCGGAAGAAAAGTCTGACGACCCACAGGTGAGGAGTGCGCTGACCATGCACAGCTGTGCTCTGACACGGAGCTGCCACGAGTCAGAACTGACTCAACAGCAACTGGGTCTCTACAAAGCCAGCCGCAAGTGTGCGACTCACATACACAGGGATTCAGTGGGGAATTAACTGTAACGGGAAAAGACTGGAGACAACCTAAATATCCCTCAGCAGGGGACCAGGTAAAGAAATGAAATACTATGTAACTGTCAAAAAACCAAAATAGAAAACGGACACTAGGTCCTGATATGGAAAAGTATCCAGAATACGCAGCCCTCGCAGATGAAACAAAGTACAAGACAGTCTGCACAGTGTGAGGCACTGTTGTAAGAAAAAAAACAAAAAAAGAATAATGATTGTAGTTGTTGAAAGAAACTTGAAAAGATACACAAGACACTAAGAACCAAGGGGCAGAACTGGGAATGCATTCACAGGGGACAGAAGTGCGGAAACGGTACCTTTTCTTTACACAAAGATCAATTTTGAAACCTAGAAGAATACTGACTATCCCACGGACTGCCAAAAGAACAGACAAACATGTCCTGGAGAAGGTGCACTCAGAGCGCTCCTTGAAGGCAAAGATGATAAAGCTTCGTCTCACATACTTTGGACATGTTGTTAGGAGAGCTATTCCTTGGAGAGGGACATTGTGGAAGGACAGTGAAGAAGAGGAAGACCCTCAACCAGGTGGACTGACACAGTGACTGCAGCAATGGGCTTGGGCACGTCCGAGATTGTGAGGACGGCACAGGACAGGACGGTTCAGATCTGTTGTCCATGACGGCTGAGTCATACTCAACTCGATGGCACCTAACAACAACATTAATGTATTCCTGTATAAAGACTGTTCTCAGATATTTCCATTTGTGTGTGTGTGCCAGGCACTGTTCTACTCTACATACATTGTTGTTGTTGTTGTTAATGTGCTGTCGAGTCACTTGCGACTCATAGCGACCCAATGTACAATAGCCCTAAACTCTGCTCTGTCCTGTGCCAATCGCACTGTCTCCGATACACCCATCCCGATTACCCCAGTCACTGAATCAATCCACCTCATAGAGGGTCTTCCCCTCCTGCGTTGTCCCTCCACCCTATCAAGCATGATGTCCCTCTCCAAGGACTGGTCTCCCCTTACAACATGTCCAAAATATGTTAGACAGAGCCTCAGAATCCTTGCCTCCAAGGAGCCGTCCGATTTAACCCTCTCCAGGATGAATCTGTTTGTTTTCCTAGTATCCTTAATACTCTTCTCCAGCACCACAGCTGAAAGGTATCAACTCTCCTTCTATCCTCCTTTGTCACTGTCCAACTCTCTGATGCATAACAAGTGATAGCAAAGACCATGGCCTGTATCAGACGCACCTTAGTCTCCAATGAGACACATTGCTTTTCAGTACTTTGGAAAGGTCCCTAAGAGCAAACTTTCCCGTGGCAATACGTCTTTTTATTTCCTGGCTGCTGGTGCCAAGAATGTTGACCATGGAGCCAAGCAAACTAAAGCTGTGAACAATCTCAATCTCTTCACCATCCATCCTGATGCTGCCAGTTGGCCCAGTGGTGAGAATCTACATACATTAACTAAGTTAAATTGTTAAAATAACCCTGTAAGCTCTGTTGGTGCAAACTGTTAAATGCTTGGCTGCCAACCTAAAGACTGGCGGTTTGAACCCACTCAACAATTCTGAGGGAGAAAGATCCACTCCTGTAAAGACCACAACCTAAGAAATCCTATACAACAGCTCTACTAGGCCACATGACATTGGAATGAGTCACAGTTGACTCAATGGCATGTAATAGACAACAGCAACATCAGGTAAATATTATTACATTCCCATTTTACAGAGGAGGAAGTTGAGGTACAGAGAAATTTAGTGACTCACTCAAGGATACAGAATCAGTAACTGGCACTGGTGAGATTTGAACTCAGGATGTTTCCAAGTCTATGGTCCTTGTCCTTTAGTCCTTGTCTATGGTCCTATGTCCCTGCTCTGCTCTCTTCTGTTTGCTTATCATATAAGATTAAATATTCAATATCATAAACACACAATATGAGAATAAAAAGCTGGCAGGATAGATCTTGATCATGGATTTGAAGACTTAATATGTTAAGATATCAATTCTTTGTCGAATCTGCAAGCCTAAAGGAAACCCCAAAGGGCCAGACCTCAAGGTCATGGCGGTGGCAGGGCTTCTCTGCAGGATGTCCAGACGTCCCATGAAGCCACAGTCACTGAAGACAGTGCGGCTCAGGCTAGACACAGGGGTCAGGAGAACAGAAGAGTCCAGAAGTGAACCCGAGCATGGGCAAGCATTTGATCTACGGCATTGCCACACGGAACATGGAGGTGAGGAGGTGCTGTGACAGCCAGCTGAGTATCAAAGGGGGAGACTGAGGCCCGAGGCCGCTTCTCAGAGCAACAGCTGTTACAGGTAGGTTCTCCTGACCGACATCTAAGAGCAACACACACACACACACACACACACACATCAAGAAAACAAAGACTCGCTTCACAGCCTGATGGGAGAGAGAAACTTCTTAAATAGCCCACATACCATACACACTCTTACTTCCCTGACACAAGGAAATACACTGTATACATTCTTGTGCACACACACATGCACTCACACAGTAATATAGAGATACACCACATACACAGTTACACACACGTGCATGCACACACAGAGTAATAGATCACATATACAGTCACACACACGTGCACACACACACAGAATGACACAGAGATATACCATATATACACAACTACAAAGTGATAAACAGAGACACCCCACATGCGCATACACAATAACATATATACACAGACATACCATATATACATACACACAAACACATACAGGTATACATGTAGTGACAGAGACACACATTGACATATCACATATACACGCAAACATACAGACACAGACATACCACATACACAGGCAGGCGAACACAATCACACACGGACACACTGACATGCATAAACAGAGCACATACACACGCACAAACACATACATATACACCAACTCATAAACACGCAGACAAGCATCCAGCGACACACACACACAGTGGCACCACATACACAAATACACAGTCACTCGGACATACCACATACACACATCAACACATATACACATATCATACACACACTGACACACAGATTGACACACACCTCCTACATACACATACATGCATATATACACACAGCGACACGGAGAGACAAACACACGGACACACCACACACACAGGCTAACATACACCAACCCGTAAGAGAGAAGACCGAGTAAGATGAAGGTACCCACTCAATGAGACACTGTCAACAAGACCAGCTGCCTTTGGGTGCATTTGGCCTCATAATGACCTTTGTGAAAATCCAAGTTCCGAAAGGGAAGACTTACTGTGAACACAGGCAACCAGTAAGGGGATCACGGCCAGGTGGCATGCAGAACTCCTACAGGTTAATAAAAAAGACACACAGCAAACGAGCAAGGCTTTCAAATGGCTCTTTACACACGAAGACACCCAAATGGCCAATCAGCATATGGAAGGATAGTTCCAACAGAGCAAGAAACTGGGGAATCTGAAATAATACAACACTGGAGCTCAGCAGCGTGGATGAAGTGAAGACGACACTCTCAAGGACTGGGGAGGACGTGGGTCAACCGGGACCCTCCTGGCCGGCTGGGGCATGCAGACTGGTAGAAGCATTCTGTTAAGGCACTGGATGGTTTCTATTAAAGCTGAAGGAAGTCCCCTTGGAGGACTACACCCACAAAAGCTGAGCAGGAATACGCATAAAACCATGACAAGTGTCCCCCCAAGTCCCCCATGTGTACAAAACGGTGTGATGTGGAAGCTAGATCATGATCTCCCATAAGATGACAAGCCAGTCAGTCAGTCATGAAAGGATTAAGGGCGAGATGCAATATCCTCAACCCCGTCATGGCCCTGCTTCCGTGTCAGGGGTATTTCCCTGGGGCGGGAACTGCATCAGCTTTTATCTCACAAAAAAAACCAAAGGGGAGAAAAAAAGGCTGGGAATGGAGCTCATCATCGGACGCAGAACTTCTAGAAGCAGGAGACGCAGGGAGAAAGCCTTCCCCTAGAGCGGGCGTCCTGATTTTAGACTTCTATGCTGCTTGTTACAGTCGTCCGTCTGGGGTACTTCTCTTGTCACAGCACTAGCTAAGTAAAACACAACATTATTCAGAAGGATACTCAACACGAGACAACTCCAGTGGAGACCAAGAGAAGGATGGGTACATAAATTACAGTGTAACTACGGGATGGAACCCTTGTCACAATGAAGACTGTTGTTGTTGTTATTGTTACGTGCTGTAGAGTTGCTTTCGAATCATAGCAACCCTATGTACAACAGCCTTAAACCCTGCTCTATCCAGCGCCAACCTCACAGGATCCAAGACACTTACTTCCAGCACTCCAATCACAGAATTGATCCATCTCATCGAGAGTCTTCCTCTCCTGTGCTGTCCCTCCACTCTGCCAAACATGATGTCCCTCTCCAAGGACTGGTTCCTCCTTGCAACATGCCCAAAATATGACAGACGAAGCTTCAGAATCCTTGACTCCAGGGAAAATTCTGGCTTCACCCTCTCCAGGAAAAACCTGTTCGTTCTCCTAGCAGTACACTGTATATTCAACACTCTTCTCCAGCACCACAGCTCAAAGGCATCTATTCTCTTTCAATCATACCTAGTCACTGTCCAGCTCTCCAATGTATGGCACGTAACTGCAAAGACTATAGTCTGGATCAGGCACACCTTAGTCTCCAGCCTGATGCTATTGCTCTTCAGTACTCTGGAGAGGTCCATGCCAGATCTCACAAACATTAAGCTAAAATCAACAAACAAAAGAAACCAATAAGATACAAAAGTGAGTGGTGGTGGTGGTGATGATGATGGTGATGGTAGAAGCTGCTGGTCTGATCCTGGTGGCTTATTAGTAAGTGGTTGTGCTACCAACCTACAAACTGCTCTGCAGGAGAAAGATGGACCATCTCCTCCCGTACGATTTACTGCCTCTGAAAACCCACTGGAGGGTCAGCTATCAGTCAGCTCCAACTGGACAGTACAGAACAAAAACATGTATCACCAGATACCTCAGGACTTCTTTTCAGTTTGAAAGTTTAGGGTCATGGTTTTTCCTGGGACGTTGCAGTCGGTTAATGTAATACTGTTTCCAGAGCTTCTGTTCTGTTTCTTGGTTCACTGTGTAGTTTTGGGGTCTTGAGGGCTTTCTGGGGCAATCCAAGGCACAATAATTAGTCTCAATTTGTTAGGAGCACCACAGGAAAAAGGAGGATCAAGAATCAGTGTTAGTCTCAATTTGTTAGGAGCACCACAGGAAAAAGGAGGATCAAGAATCAGTGAAAGTGAAGGAATATGTGTCCAGAGGGCAGAGCCTCTATGAACTACTTTCTCCTCTGCCATGAGACCTGCGTAACTAGATGGTGCCCTACCACCATTACAAATGTTTGGATCAAGGATTCTATAGACGCTTTACAATCAAAAGGGGACTTATAAGGAACAGAATTTCATATTATCATGGAACTCAGATTTCCTTAGAGGAATAACACTCTCCCCTGAAACTATGACCCCAAGGAAATCTTTAAATCTAGAATGGAAGTATCCCCTGAAGTTAACCTTAAATCAAACAATGTTGTTTTCAGATGTTATCAAGTCAACCATGATTCATGGCAACCAACAGACGGAAACTATGTCGTATGCAAATCATATTGTGCCTAATTAGAAAAGAAGGTCCTGTATGAAGCACTGGAGTCTTTCAAAGGATTATCAATGTATGATTGAGCTGACAATATCAGCTCAAAAGATGAGTGAAAGGTGTAGGAAACCACATACTTGTGTTTATGCTAGTTTGGAAATGGTTGAGGAAGCCAGCACCATCTGAAGAACGGAGCCAGTGTCCCCGACAATGGTGGACACGTGAACACTGCTTAAGTAGCACACATTTTGCTATTTGTATTTTCCAACAAAAGTAAGAAGAGGGCACAAGGCCATAGAGCAATGAAGACACAGCAGTGACCACCTGGAGCGTGTGACCCGTTAGCAGGGAGGGGGAGGTGGGGTAGGGTCCTGGCGTCACTATCAGCCACATGTGGCCACTGAGCCCTTGAAATGTGGCCTGTATCTGTTTGACTGAATTCACGTTTGAATTCTTTTAGATGATGGACACATGGCTCGTGGCAACCACACTGGATAACAGGTGTCCACGTCTCGATGCTTCCTGCCTTTCAGCGTGTGTGAATTCTCTGAGACTTTCATCTCGATGCTTCCTGCCTTTCAGCGTGTGTGCATTCTCTGAGACTTTCGTCTCGATGCTTCGGCATGTGTGAATGCTCTGAGACTTTCGTCTCGATGCTTCCCGCCTTTTGGCGTGTGTGAATGCTCTGAGACTTTGTCTTTCGTGAGTAGGAAAGTCACACGCAGGTGGAACACTGGTACCACCCATGAGGACCTGTTTGGAGACTTCTCCAGGAAAGGAAAGCCCACCCTGGTCATCGGTTCCAGGGAGCCTGGTGGCTCAGTGGTAAGGAGCTGCACTGTCAGCCTGAAGGAACACGGTTCAAATCCACTAGCCCCTCTGTGAAGAAAGATGAGCAATTTCCCCCCTTGTAATGTGCTGCCTCTGAAAACCGGCTGGATGTCAATTCTGAGTTGGCTTCCAACTCAACAGTACAGAACAAAGAACAACAGTCATGGGTCCCAGGATTTGAGAGTGACCACTCCCCTTAGGCCCTGCTACAAGGGACTGGCCTGTCCCTAAGTGCCTCCCCTGTCTGGCTGTGGCCTACTGGTCCCAGTCCCCACTAAGCGGACCCCTCACAGCTCTCAGCTCTCAGCTCTCTGGCCTTCTAGAAACTCCCAGCTCCCTTGTCCAGTGTTCTCCTCCCCTGGGTGCAACAGGCTGGATGTGAGGATCAGGAAGACTTAGGACTCTGTTGGCTTTGGGGCCCTCTCTAGAAGTTTCCTCCCCTCACAGACACCCCAGGAGCATCCACAACACATGGGGTCCAGAGGTCCCCTTTCGGTCATCCTGTTGGTTCCTCACCATTTAGGGCAGAGAGAAATGGAAAGGAGAATGGAGGCCCTCCCATCCCCTCTGTCACTCACAGCCAAGGAAAGGGAGGTGAGATCCATCCCGGAAGGAGGGTCTTGCCCTCCACCAGACCCCCGTCTGCTGCCCCTCTGGGGTTTTCTCTTTCCTGCCCTCACGGGATGGCACCCTGACTGAACCTCTTTCTGAGTCTGGCCTGCCCACACCTGGAAGATGAGATGGGTGGCAGGGCGGACCCTATAGGGTTGTGAGAACAGAATGAATAATGCACATGACAGAGCTCTGTGTGTGGTCACTGCGCCCACGACTCGAACCCCTGAGGTACAGAGAGTTGAGGGTTCGGCTGCTTTCCAAAAAGTTGGAAGTTTGAGTCCAGGAGCACCTAGGAAGAAAGGCCTGGAGATCCACAGAAAGATCAGCCACAGTTCTGCTCTGGTACACATGGGGTCCCCCTGAGATGGGGTTGACTGGACAGCAGTTTGTTTGATCTTTGTGCTGGACATCATCAGGCCTCGGTATATTTTGCCTCATTCCAAGGGGTCAGTCCTTGGAAAAAGGCATCATGCTTAGAAAAGGGGAGAGTCTACAGCACAGAGTCTAACAAGATAGAGCGTCATGGTGACTGCAACCATGGGCTCAGGCGTGTCAGAGGGGAAGGATGGCACAGGACAGGGAACGGGGCAGATCTGCTGTCACCGAGTCACAGTCGATGGCACGTAACAGCGACAATAAATTTGCATGGTGTAGAAGTAGCTTTACCTTGGCAAGGGAGTCAGTGTCAACTACAGCCTCTGCAGGAACTTGCTGTGTGACCCTGGGCAAGCGTACCTACCTCTCTGGGCCTCGGTGCTCTCAGCGGTAGAAAGGGGAAAGGGGTACTTGCACCCTACCTACCGCATAGGGCTACTAGAAGGAAGAAATAGCCATGGGAGGTGGGTGAAACAATGAACCTCGCTTTCTGAGTAAGAGATGAGGTCTAGAACAGAGTTGGTCCAGGGTTCCAGGCTGAATGCCATACAGGTTCCCATACCGGCTACCCCACCCCAAGGGCACTGCCAACATCATGCAGACAGAGCTCTGAACCCCAGCACGACCTGCACCCTGCAGGAAGTGACTGCATCACCGTCCCTCCACCCCTGGTGACACTGAGTCACTCTGTAACCCACCTAACAGTTGTGACCACATTTCCTCCACTCGGGGTAAGCGTGTCATGTGAGCACCAGGCGGCCAGCAGTCCTTGATGGGCTGCCAGAGGCCTCTCTGTAAGCTCAGGTCACCTCACAGGCACAATGGGCCCCACACCGTGTCTGGAGGACCACCACCGGGGCTGTACCCATTCAGGGGTTCTGTCCTGCTTCACACAGCACACACGTGCCCCCAATGGGTTTCAAGCACACAGTCCCCCAACCCTGGGAGGGACATGAGCATGGGCAAATTTTCAAAGTGGATGCTGGAGGTCCTAGGATACTCGGAGCTAACTTTTAGGAGCAGTAAAGCAGACCACAGGGTCCAGTGCTAGTCTGACTTCTAGCAAAAAGGTCAGTGGTTCGAACACTCCCAGGGCTGCCTCAAAATATAGGCGTGGTCATCTGTGTCTGAAAAGTTACAGCTGTGAAAAGACAAAGAAGTAGGTTTTCTCTGCACACATGGAGTCTGAAAGGACTTGAGGGCAACTCCGGGCAGGCAGCAGGGTAGGTGCGGGTCCATGGGGGAGGGGTTGGAAAGTGGAGGTGCAGGGAGGTGGCTGGCAGGAAGACCGACACATTGCATGCCAAAGATGCCCAGACAGGAATTACATGGATAACACAGGGTAGGGGGAGGGACAGATGGACTTCTGCATGACCTCTCAGTTCTCCAGGTCTGACCACTCTGGGGGCCAGGAGGCAGGAGGTCACCCCTTGAGCGGGACTTACAGGCCTGGGTGTGGGAGGTCCAGAGGCATTCCTTCTAGGATCCAGATGTGGGGGGTCCCAGAGGAGGAGCCTAGGACCAGGGACACAGGGATGCAGAGAGTTCATGGGCTGAGGAAAGAGGCTCTGGACTTGGGCACCCCTGAACTCAGGTCCCAGCTCTGCTCTGCACGGCTGTGCCTCAGTTTCCTCACCTGTAAACTGGGCCTGTGACCTAACCCCACAGGGCCACAGCCACAGCAAGGGGCATGCTGGTGGCCTAGTGGGTACAGAGCTGCTTCTAACCCACAGGTGGCACCTCTCTCACGGGTGGAATCCTCCAGGGCCTCTGGGGCAGAAAGACGGACAATCTCTTCCCAGGCGAATTACAGCCTCTGATAACTTACTGGGGAGTCAATTATGAGAGTTATAGCCTGAAGTAAACTCACCAGATAAATTGGTATAACTACTAGTGACACAACTGCTAGGAATTCTCACTTTCTTTTTCCTTGATCCACATGCCCCCCACAACAAGTGTTCTTCCAGTAGAATCACAAAAATGGAAATATTTACAGGGACCAGGCTCCCTTCTGGGAAATCCTCCTTTCCCCTCTCACATCTCACTGAGGGCAGGCAGGTTCGTGGCCAGGAGAAGGAGGGGCTGACTGTGCAAAGACTGTGCCTTTTAAAAAAGGACCATCACGTTCTTTCACCAAGGACCCGCCAACATGGGCCAGGCTCGCACCAAAATTGTGAAGAAGGTGGCCCGGGTCATCACTGAGAAATACTATACGCGTCTGGGTAATGACTTCCACACAAACAAGCACATGTGAGAGGAGATCGCCATTATGCCCGGCAAGAAACTCTGGAACAAGATAGCAGACTATGTCACACACATCTGATGAAGTGGATTCAGAGAGGGCCTGTGAGAGGCATCTCCATTAAGCTGCAGGAGGGGGAGAGAGAAAGGAGAGATAATTATGTACCAGAGGTTTCAGCCCTGGATCAGGAGATCATTGAAGTAGATCCTGATACTAAGGAAATGCTGAAACTCTTGGACTTTGGCAGTCTGTCCAACCCCCAGGTCACTCAGCCCACAGTTGGGATGAATTTCAAAACACCACGTGGAGCCGTTTGAGTCTGTTTGCTGTGCTGTAATATTTTCAATAAACTTGGGCACACCAGCCTTGCCTTTGTAAGAAAAAAAAAAAAGGACCATCACAAGAGGGGGATATTTGAACAAGTTTTCAGAGGCATTTCAAGACCAAGACCAGGGGAAAAGGCCTGGCAATCTGCTTCCAACGAGGAATAAAAAGAAACCACCCCAAAGCCAAAACTCAGCTAATGCAAATTTTATAATCACAGCAATCTGCAAAGCATGGTGAGGATGGCAGTGCTCTGTGCTGAGCTTGGGGTGACTTCGCAGCAGCTGACAATAACAATCATAACTTGGGACGTTGGACTACTGGTGGCAACCGCCATGGATGCTTAGCTGCTGAAAATAGCAGGCAGCGTCCTTGGCAGCTCCTGCTGAAACAAAGGGCATATTTGGGGAGTAAAAAGAGAGGGCGCCGTCTGTGGCAGTAGCAGCAGGGGGGTCGCTGCCACCCTCAAAGCCTGAGGGTGTCTCCAGAGCCACTCACCAGACATGTCTGTAGGACGCACCCACTATGTGGGAGCTGCCGTGCTTACCACAGTGCCTGGCACACATGGTGCTCAGTGATGGAGAGGCACTGAACAGAGGTTGAGGAGTTCACCCAAGGTCACACAGCAAATCAGGGAGATCCGGAACTAGACATCTGACCTCCTGACTTCCCACTAAGTGCTCACAGCCTGAGAAACGGGAAAGCCGTGCGTGGGCTGCAACCAGTAACTCACATTACTAAGTGTCAAACTCTGCCCCATGCTCTTGACGCTTACAGCGTAAAAATGGCAAAGCCTCCCAGAACAGAAGCTGTCAGTTATTAATGAGATAGCTCAGCTCAAGGCAACACAGCAGAAAGCAGAACAAACGCCCCATTCTGTGCCATCACCCAGCACGATACTGAGCAATACTCCGTATGATCGACACAGAGGTTTTCCCTGGCTAAACTTGGGAATTAGCTGGTCAGGCCTTTCTTCCTAGTCTTCCACAGTCTGGAAGCTCTACTGAAACTATCCCAACATTGGTGTTTTCCTGCTGGTATCCCGAAATCCTGGTGCCAGGGCTTCTTAGATCACAGCAACACAACGGTCACCACAGTGCAACACACTGGCAGATGAGGAGGGCTCTAGAAATCAGGAGCTATTAGGTTTTTTTACTTTTTGAAATTACTACTTTTAATGAAAATTTACAGGAGCTATCGCTTCTCGGCCTTTTGGCTAAGATCAAGTGTAGTAAAATGTTTAATTTTTTGTTATTGTTGCAAGTATACACCGCAGAGTATACAGCAATTCAGCAGTGTCTGCATTCACCAAGTGGAGATTTCTTTCTGATCCTAGTCTGCTAGTCTGTGAGCTGTATCTATCCTCAGCCTCCCCCAATTGTTCCTCTCTAGTTAACATAAACTCACAGTACAAGAAGGTTCCTATCTAGCCTGTTTTCATTTTGATGTCACAGAGACAGTTCTCAAAAGGCCCCAATGTTTAAGGTACACATTCTTTACTAATTAAACCAAGCTATTGATGATGGGGAACAGACAGAAAGCTTTAACTCTTTCATCTTCCTTGGGACCCATAATCAGCAACCCATGATCGCAGTAGTTGTGGTCACAGCAGCCAAGAAGTCAAAAGGCGTGCTGCACCGGGCAAGTCTGCTGTCAAGGACCCCTTTAAATGCTAAGAAGCAAGGATGTCAGTGTAAAGACTAAGATGTGCCTGACCCAAGACATGGTATTGGCAATTGCTTCATATGCATGTGAAAGCTGGGCAATGAATAAATCAAAGGCTTTAAACTGTTGTGTTGGTGAAGAGGACTGAATATCCCATGGACTGCCAAAACAAGAGATAAATCTGCCTTGGAAGAAGTACACCCAGAACGCTCCTCAGAGATAAACACGGAGAAACTTTATCTCATATACTTGGGGCACTTTGTCAGGAGGGGCTTGTTCTTGGGGTGGGGGAAGGAAAGACATCATGCCTAGAAAAGGAGAAAGACAGTGAAAGAGACCCTCAATGGGACGGATTGACTTAAAACTGCAACAGTGGGATTGAGTATGGTGGAGACTGTGAAGATGGCGCTGGTAGCCTAGTGGCAAGAAGCTGCACTGCAATCCCAAAGGCACATGGTTCGAGGCCACCAGCTACTCTGTGGGAGAAGGATGGGCAATATCCTCCGTGAGAGTGACGCCCTCTGAAAACCCGCGTGACGGTCTGCTATGGTCGGTTCTGACCCAACGGTACACAACACGAACAGCAGGAGCAGGGCAAGGTTCCGATCTGCAGTTCACAGGGCTCTCTGAGGAGCAGCCAACCTGAGGGCATCTAACAACAACGTCTGGTTTTAAGACTTCCTGCGTATAGTTTACCACCATTTTACAGATGAGAAGACTTAGGCAGAGAGTGAGATGCGATCCCTGGGTTTACTCCAAGGGCATCTTTAAATTACTGGAGTGCGCTGTCCCACTTCTCTACACCCATGGGTCCAGGTAGCCACACTGTACCATTCAGCTGTCTTCCTGGAAGAGGGGAGCAGAGAAACTGCACACTCCAACCTACCACCCGATGCTGCCCACTCTGTCTCCTAAACACACCCATGCTCCCACCTCTCTCCTTCCCTGCTTCCAAGACTCTTGTCCAGGCTTCTGTGGCCACTTGCTCAGATTTCGCTACCTCTGCCTCCCCAAGGCCTGTCTGAACCCCTCCTGTCCTTCCCCTGAAGCAACCAAGTGCAAGTTCACCCATGTGGCTCTGCCTCACAAAAACCTGCCTGCTTTCTGTGTAATCCGATGGATGGGAAATGCATGTCTAGGACATTCTCAAAAAGGCAAAGTGATCAGGGCAGGAAAGAGTCCCCCGGGTAGTGTGAATGGTTAATGTGCTTGGTTACTGATGTGAAGGTTGGAAGTTCAAGTCGACCTAGAGGCACCCTGGAAGAAAGACCTGGCCGTGTACTTCCAAAACATCAGTCCTCCAAAATCCTACAAGCACAGCTCTACTCTGACACGCCTGGCATTCCTATGAGTCAGACTTGGTTTACAGGCAAGAGAACAAACACGTGAGTTTCAGCAATTTCAGCTCTCAGCAGCCTGCACCTCTCAGCAAGGTATCTGTGCAGTCAACGACCTGTACAACCAGAGGCAGCAGCCCTAGAGAGAGGTCCTGCTTGGAAGGGGCAGGCACAGGGCCTGTGGGCTTAGATGCTGAGTGGGAGACAGCTCAGCCTTGTGCAGAGGCCAGAGAATGGCCTCCAGCGGAGGCTGACATGCCCAGTCATATCCATCTCCAAGCCCCATGCCAAGGCACATCCTGGCATCTGCAGGGAGTCCTGCGCAGAGCCAGGCCCAGCCGCAAGGCCTTCAGAACCCGAGTCACAGGTTCATCAAGTAGCCAGGGGTGAGGTGGATTGGGGAGCCCCATCTCTGACATCTGGACCCTGCTTTGGCTGGTGGAACAAGACCAGCACTGTCCTTCAAACCTCGTCAAGGGGCACTAACTAATTCAGCTTCCCCGGACAGCTTATCTACTGAGTTCCAGGCCACAGTAAGTCATCTCGGAGCCAGTCCTGAAGGAGCCATCCTGGGCTGGGGAGGGCTCTTTCAGGCCTGTGCGGCCCCAGAAAAGGGGAAGTCAAGCCCTGGCTACTTCAGGACACACTTTTCCAGAGGACAGTGAACTTTTCCAGTGGACACTGAGCCTAGAGACAAAGGGACCAGCACACGCCCTATGGTCAGCACAAGCTCAGCCCAGGATCCAGCAAGTTCTTCTGAAGGGACAGTAAGTGCATGAGTGAAGAAATGCATGAATGAACTCAGTGCTGTGCAGACTGAGCCCCAGGTCTTACACTGGTGCAGGCGAGGCATTACGTCTCAGAAGGAGCCACAGAGAAGGTTAACCTAGAAGTATTCCCACTCAAAGCTCAGAAGAGGAAACTGAAGCTGGGAGGGGTGAAGCAGTTGTCTCAACTAGTAATATCTAGCTTAGTTAAGGCACAAGAAAGAATTTGGGCGCCAGAAACCTAAACCAGAATAACAGGCCTAAAGCTTCTGGTGAAATAGAAATCTCGCAAGGACTGAATGTGAAAAATGTTTACAATCTAGTCCTTGAAACCAGACCTTCAGCCAGAGAATGGCTGCCTCTTCTCTCTCCTCCTCTTCCTTCTTCCCACCTCCAGCAGGACACAGACCTGCAGGGAGCCCTGCAGAGCAGTTTAATATTCCTGGCACATAATCTGATACTATGTGACAAGAGAGACAAAATGTTCTGTGTTAGAATTGAATTTGGCTGTAACAGAAAGTCTAAAATAACAGTGATTTAAACAAGGGAGATAGATACTCCTTTTACATTTAACATTCTACGGAGGGCTAGAACATTCCATCAATT